TTGAACCAATTAGCAATTAAACACTCAGATGCACCCAGAAACTCTGCAGGTCCTTCCAGGAAGACTGCTCTCTGCCAGCATCCTGGCTTTTTACCAGAGATTCTCACTTAGAAGAGTGCTCTGGTGCCCACTCTAACTTGAGGTGTGAGTTTAGAGTGAGAGCTTCCACAGTACCCCCTCCACCTCCATGAAAGTGGGACTATTAGCATCCACTTCCAGAAACTATCCAGTTCTCATGTTGCTGCTCCTGAAGGGTCTCTGCTGGCCCAAGAGAAGCTTTTTCATTAACACGACCTGTCTTCTTTCCATCTGCAGTTTCACCTTTCATCTTCCGTTTGTCGCCCTCCTTTTTTTCTTCCCCGCCATGCTCTCTTCATCTCTGCCTTTCGGCCTTGCCGTCTCTTTTATGTATGAATGTGTCTGAGTTTCTGCTGGCGAGGGGGCTCGGCTCAAAGCAGGCCAGCCTCTAGACTCTCCATGGTTTAATTAGAGTGTGCATTGTGCTGCCCTGCTTCTCTGAGAGCATATATGTACATGCAGAAGCACACACACACGAACAGAGGGGCGCGTGGGCAGAACAACAAAGTCCACACTAAGGAGAACAAAGGCAGGCGGTGGTATATTTTAGTCTGAAGCCACTGCACCACAAAAAGACAATGAGCAATTAAAGATGCTGTAGTTTGCGTCACAATTATACAAGCTGAAAGAATTCATAGTTTTCACGGATATTTTTCCCTCAAAGATCTTGTTGTACATAAACTTTATTGTTACATGAAGGAGAATCACTCGTTTTATCCGCTCATCAGTCTATAGACTCCAATTATCCGCTGTCTCGCCTCAGGACATCTAACTCTCATAATATCTCTTTCAGATGGCTTTATTGGCATTGGGAGAAAAAAAAGAGGAAACAACAACACAGAAATGCTTCAGCTGGAGCATTAACTCAGTTAATGAGGGCCTTAAAATGGATAATTATGGTGATCAAGCAGGAGAGTGTGTAAAAGAGAGGAAGGTGCAATGGTGAATTGAAAGAGATAATTATTTTCTTTTCCTGCATGTTTTCTCATGAATGTGTTTGTATGTGTTCTGTGCTGTGACCTATAGTATCTGCTGACAGTGTTGTTTCTGACAAAAACAGTATACACTGGAAACCACATTTACTTTTACTACAAATCTTTATAGAATTTATTTATACCCCAGGCACGATTAGGTTAATTCTTGATTTTATGTATTTACTTATTTTTCTCATCGCCTCATTTTTACTTGAAGTCATTTTCAGGTTTTAGAAAAGCCCAACCAAAGTCGCAACTTGAATTTGATAAATCATTTGTGGATTAATATGAGGCTTAGGATAAGGGCAGAGAAGTTTTTCAACCTCAAGGACTACCTCATCACTAAATGTCATTAGAAAAAAAAAGTAAGAAAGGTCCCCATAGATAGAGTAAGTGGTAGATTACGTTTTTTCCATTTAGTTATAATAATTGTAAAAATGTTTTATAGCGTATTTTTTGATACCATGTATATAATATATATATATATATAGTTCTCAAAAAGCCTTTTATACCTTTTCTATTATCTGTTGGGAGATTTCTTGAAATTTCTAGGTTGAATTTCCATATATATTTACTTCTTGATCTGCAGGAGAATGATGAATTTAGAGTTTAACCATACCTTCTGTATACTTTTAGATTTGCAATATGATGAAATATGGAGGTGTAAATAATCAAGGCCTTAAACGGGAAATATGTTATTAGACCTAATGTCAGGATCCCCTCTAACCGTTGGATAATAATCAGCAATCCCATGTTATGCCAGCATATTATATTCTATGCTTTGTGTAATTGTGGACTTGCATTCTGTTACATGAAGATTACAGAATTTCCACCTTAGATTAGATGAATGGTTGTACTATGAGTGGGTTTTCATTCATCTGTGGGTCAGTAAAGGCTTACTAAATGCATCCTTGTTCTGCGTACAGCTAGAAAATGTCCCAGCTTGTTATAAGCTGCTTACCGGAACACATTATTGACCTTTGACCTTTCTGGGCAGTGAAAGGATCCCTCTAATCTCCAGCCTCTGCTCTCTGTCCACTGCATCCACTGTACTTTATCTGCAAAAGCAACCCTAAAGCATCCAGGAAATTAATAACCATAAAAATCGAGGAATGAGTAGTAAAGTCTTTAGATGAGGAAAAATGAAGTGGCTCAGCTTCATGCACTAGAAAACATTACTTCTCTGTAGAGATTTGCTTGTGATATAAATGAACGAGCTGCCATGTTAAACACAGATCAACTAGGAAGGATTTGGTTCTGATGCACGTCTCACCAGCTTAGAGTGAACAAATTCATGGTTTTCAAGCAACTAAGTGCGTTTCAGTCTTACAAAGTCCTGTTTGTGTTATGAGGAAAAAAAAAACAGTGAACAGGTCACCCAAGAACCAGTTCTTTTAAATGTTGCATTTTCCTTACTTACTCTGTGGATCTATTTTCTTTTCTTTGGTTGATAAATCCCAATGAGTGGATTGGGTGGAATTAAAAAGGTAACCAAAGGGACATGTTAAATCATGGGGAGTCCGCTAATTAGCATCACAGGTGTCTACAAACTTTTAATCTGTAAGTGGACGTTCATATAGGACAGGCATGCCCAAAGTTTGACCTTGAGGGGCCCTTTCCTGCCAATTTTAGAGGTTTCCAAGTTTTAGGACAGTTTATTCTGATGAATGCAGTTTAGCAAAAAGACTGTTAACCAACCATCAAAGAAAATCAGCTGTGCTGGAGCAGGAAAACCTGTAAAACCTACAGAATGGCGGTCATTGAGGATCAACTTTAGGCATGCCTGATATAGGGCTACAGGCATTCAGTGTGCAGCTTGGTGACATGGTGTGTACCACACTCAACATGGACCAAAGGAAGAGAAAGAAAGGGTTGTCTCAAGAGATTGGAGGGAACATTTTAGACAAGCTTTTTTAAAGTAAATATTATAACCCCATCTCAGAGCAGCTTGATGTTTCTGTGACTAAAGTTAAACATATTATTCAGAAATGTAAAATTCATTTAACTTTAGCTAACCTCCTTGGATGTGGCTGCAGGAGGAAAATTGATGACAAATCAAAGAGATAGATACGAAAGAAAACTAAAGGGCCCAGAAACTGCTAAAGAAATTAAAGGTGAACATCAAGTTCAAGGACAATCGGTGTCAGATCTCTCCGTCTACCATTGTTCAAGCCAAACTGGACTTAATAAAGAAAGGAAGAAGGAGGACACCATTGTTGTAAACTAGTAATAACAAAGCTAAACTGGAATTAGTCAAACTACATGTTGACAAGCCACAAAACCCATTGGAGAATATTTTATGGGCAGATGAAACAAAAGCGGAACATTTTGCCAAGGCACTTGAGCTCTTTTTACGCAAAGGGATACACAAAGCGTGACGAGGAAACACCACCCTCCCTATTCAGAAACACAGAGGAGGTTCTGTTATGTTCTGGGGAAGGTTTGCTTCCTCTGGCACAGGAGGTCTGGAATCTCTGCAGGAAATCCCAAGCCTATGAAGTGGTTCTAGAAAAAAAATGTGCTGCCCAGTGTCAGAAAGCTTGGTCTCATTCACAGTTCATTGGTCTAGCAAAATGGCAATTACCCCAAACCTTCAGCTATGAACACCTAATAATTGCTACAAAGACAACATTGGACTAATCTGAAGAATACTTCAATGAGCCCTGACCTAAAATTCCATTGAGAACTTTTGAAAGGAGCTGAAATATAGTCTAAAATACTTACTGAGGGGGGCAGTAATCCCACATACAGATACAGGGATAGTTTGATTGCAGTGATTGCCTCAAAACGTTTTTTAACATACATAATAATAATGTAATGGTACCTTTATTTCTACCCAAGCCTTTCTTATGAGTTTATTTTGTTTTTTAATTTCTTTGT